CGCTGGGGAGTCGTGTTTCTCATCCAAGAGAACAGGACGCTCATTCCCCTTAGCATCATGTACTACGAATAGTGATTCCTTCCACTCAGTATTTTTGCATTGCGACTGTAACCAGCCCAATCCAAGAACTGTGTCGAAGGGACACTTGTCGAGAACATAGAACTTCAGTTCGTGTGGGACGGTTTTGTCCTTGTCAAAGGTAGTGTGCACACCTTTGACTGCATGCATAGATGAGACAACTTCCTTGTTGCCTACTTGGGTCCGGCAAAGGGTTTGCAACTCCACTTGCTTCATTCCCAAGCCCACCTTGCGTACCCCATGTGGAGAAATAAAGTTAGTAGTAGCACCACAATCAACCAAGACACGGAGGCAGTGGTGGTTGATGAGAAGCTTGAAGAAGATCAACTCCGCTGTCCCTTGAGCAACGCTGCTGTTTCATCTCAGCCCAATGCTGGAGGTGGTAGTGAAAGTTCATCTTCTCGGACTCCTCCCAAGGCTCAACATATAGGACATGGCATGCATCAGCCTTGGAATCAGCGGATGGTGGGGCTTCAAGAGAGGACTGCTGAACATAATCAGGTTCCTTAGAGAAACTACCGCTTATCGATTCAGTCTCTCTTGCTATAGAGTGTGCTGATGACAACCCGACGCCCGATTCGGGTTTCCCTGCAGCCTATAACAATCTTGGACTTTATGATTCGGCTTCAAGCAATGCAGGCAAACTCCCTTTTTTTCCTTCAAAAAAAAAAAAAAAAAAAGAACCTTAGGGTTCCGGCTCCGTTCCCATTCTGGGGAGCATCCCACCGACAAGTCAAAAAAGGTTATATTGAATACACTCTCACCCTCCTCCCCCTTATGGCATGGAGGCCCAAAGAACGGCATTGATTACTTCTCTGAGGAAGGATGTACCTTTCTTCACCCCTGCCTAAGTTAGCCTGAACTGACTGGTCTCTGTTCCTGGTTACTAGCCTGAAATTTCTGTTTGTGGAATTACCTTGGAACCTGGTTGGCTAAGCTGTTACCTCGGCTTCTAGTTCTCTTGACCTTGGTTTGCTGACCCTTTTCACCTTCTTCCGTCTACTACTGGTCTAGGAGCCTTATTTTTTGTGGATGGCTCAACTTGATAAGGGTGCCTGCTGCTAAAGCCCTAGACCCTCCTTGGAGTTGCCTTGAATATAGTTGTCTCGGATGCTGCTTCGGCTACCAGTGATCTGCACCTTAGCTTACTGCCCCTTAGCGCTACTTTTCTATGTATTTTTATAGTCTAGAATCATTATTTTCAAAAGGACTGATCCCTGTTCAATTTGCTGAGTGGAGAGATTGCTGGGGCTGGACTGAACTCCCGGAACTGCATGTTGGTAGTGGGATGTCTGCATGAAGCCTGAAGAGGGCTTTTTTGTGTGGGGGGTGGTGGAGTTGGGGTGTTGGCTGGGTTGGGGGTTGCACTTGGACTGGGAAGTTGGGGTGGGATAGGTAGGTGTAAAGGGGATAGGGGGTGGTTAGTGAACACATCCGGAGGAGTGGTGCTGGTTGCCTGGGAGTTGGTTCGGGGGTTGTGGAGATGGTTGGTTGACTGGGGCGGTGGGGTCTAAAGGTCAAGTTGTGAGGAGGTGTTATGTGCCTGGTTTGGTTGTGGTAGTGAGTGAGTTTGGGATGTCCGGACCTCCCAAACGAACAAGTACCCTTGCAGGTCACACACGCACTCAAGCCAACAAGCACTCAAACTGGCACGCAGACCAGCAAGCACGCACACACACAGACGCAGAAAACTCAGCAAGGCATACATTCCATTGGCAAAACTCAGAAATCAGCTGTGTGTCTCAGTCCGTGTTTGGCAGGTCCTTACAGGATAAAGGAAAACTACGGTATAAAACTTTACAGGATAAAGGAAAACTACGGCATAAAAACTGGGTGGCGCAGAAGAACCTCTGGGCCTTTAGGCCGGTAGAATGCTTCCCCACACTGCTGCCCGGGCAAACTCAGGAAGCATTGACAGAGGTACATGCCCCGATCACTCAGTCCAGAAAGCCTCCGCCGGCTGGCACATCCTCTCCCCTCCCCCTCAGCCCGGGGGCCGCCCCCCTCGGTCTCAGCCCCCTCCACCC